GTGGGAGGCCCTCTGGGAAGGTTGGTTATGGCTGGAAAACTGAGCTGCAGGTGGGACTCCTTCTGGGGAATGACAGAGCTGGGGCCAGACTGAGAAGCCAACTACTGTGTCTTGGGCCTCCAGGGAGAAGAGGAGGAGGACCAGAGCCTCGATGATGTGGAGAAAGTGTCTAAGGGGTCCACCGGGCGTCTTCGGTTCCAACAGGCCACGCTAGACCAGGCTGGTGCCTACCAGTGCATCGTGGACAATGGGGTGGCACCCCCAGCCCGAGGGCTCGTCCGACTGGTTGTCAGATGTGAGTTACACCCCAGCCGCAGCTGCTAAGCCTCATCTCTCTCTTCTTCCACATACCTCAGATCGACCCTCACCCCCTCCTAGTTGCCCCCCAGGTGGAGCACCCCACTCCCCTAGCGAAGGTGGCTGCAGCTGGGGACAGTACCAGCTCTGCCACTCTCCACTGCCGTGCCCGAGGTGTCCCCAACATTGTCTTCACTTGGGCCAAAAACGGGGTTCCTCTGGATCTCCAGGATCCCAGGTGAGCCCAGGCTCAGCCAGGTGGCCCCACGCTGGCCCCCCAGCTCAGGTCCCCTCCCTGAGCCCTGCCACACCTCTCCAGGTACACGGAGCACACGTACCACCAGGGCGGGGTCCACAGCAGCCTCCTGACCATTGCCAACGTGTCTGCAGCCCAGGATTACGCCCTCTTCACGTGCACAGCCACCAACCCCCTCGGCTCGGACCACATCGACATTCAACTCGTCAGCATCAGTATGGCGGGAGGGGACTGAGGGGGCACGGAGCGGGTGGGGGTGCCCCCGCATCTAGCCCCAAGTCCCTGGTGTTCCCAGATTGAAACCTGAGAAATGTCTGTAAGTGAGGTTGGAGTTTTTGTCTGTTGCAAAAATTCTAATGGGGGACTGAAGCTTCTGGAAAACCCACAACAAAGGGGGGCAAAGTGTGTGGGTTGGGAGGGTTTAGCCCAAATAACTGAAAAGTAGACTTTGAGGAGTTGCTGGGTCTACGTTCGGCTCTCGAGAACTCTCCATCCCTCGGGTCTGCTTTCCTATGTTGGCTTTATTCTGAGGCTTTTCAGAGCTGCTGTTAGATTTTCCTTGGGAAATAGGTTACTTTGCTTTCCTTACAGTGGCATGAGAGTGCTAGAATTAGGGTGCAGTGACTCTGCCTGGCTCCCAGCCCCTCCCTGAACCAACCATGCAGCCAGGGGAAGGTGATATTCTTCTTGGCCTTCCTGGACTCACGTCCCTCCTTCTAGAGTGAAGTCACTTCCGTCGCAATCACATGACCTGAGAATGTGGTCAGGTGGTTCTCCAAAGAATACTCAGGGTTCTGTAACCAGAGAGGTGATGTGAGTCAAGCACCCCCCCCCAAAATCCACTACAAGCAACATATATACTACAAACAGTCTGCATGATTTGGCCCGTCTGTATTTGCAAATTGGCTTAATTGTTAAAATGTACTTGTAGTACCCCAGTCAACACTCACGGTGCTTTTTCAGTCACTCAGGGACATGAACAGAGTGGATGAAAGATTCGAGTCGCTAACGAGCTTATTCTCCGCGAGGCAGAGTGAGGCCCGCTGTCTTCTAGTATCAGCTGGCATGCTGCGTTCTGTGTAGTGCCACCTTTTTGTACTTTTGTGTTTTTCATTAGTGATCTTGTTATTTAAAATGCCCCTCTAGAGGCAGTGTGTTGAGTATTTCTAAACACAAGAAGGCTGTGATGTGCCGTAAGGAGAAAACAGCCGTGTTGGGTAAGCTCCTGCAGGTGTCTGGAGTATTGCAGTTGCTACGCGTTCAACTGCTCGTGAATCAACAATGTAAATAAGGTGTCCCCAAGCGGGATGTGCATAAACCAAGACCAGAGATTGGTCAGCAGGAAAAAATGGACCTGAGGCTGACAGGACCTCAACCCCGCACTTCCCACAGATGCAGTGATCTGACAGCTGCTAATCCAGCATCCCCAGTGACTTGATAGAACAGAAACACCATGCATGACAAGAATTGAAGTATATTTGAAATCATTCTTAAGAAAAATCTGGAAGAAACCATCTGGGATCCCTCTATGTCCTCTGATTTCTTTCCACATCCTTTTCCCCCAAGGCCGCCCTGATCCTCCACTGGGATTAAAGGTCGTGAGCATGACCCCATACTCGGTGGGGCTGGAGTGGAAGCCTGGCTTTGATGGGGGCTTGCCACAGAGATTCAAAGTCAGGTGGGTTCTTGTCGAGGCAGGAGGAGGTGAAGCAAGGATGGGGCCTTCTGGAATGACCTCCGCTGTCTCACACAGGTATGAGGTCCTGGGGATGCCAGGCTTCTTCTACATGGATGTCCTGCCACCGGAGGCCACCACCTTCACACTGACTGGGCTGCAGCCAGCTACGCAGTATAGGATCTGGCTGCTGGCCAGCAACGCGTTGGGGGAGAGCGGAATAGATAGCAGGGGGTCCCAGACCACTGTCACCACCCCAGGTGAGAAAGAACAGTCCAGTTAAGACTTGGGCAGAGTCCTCAGAGGACTTACTGGGAGTGTGGTGAAGCCAGTACTATCATTCCTTTTTCCAGAGGAAGAAGCTAAAACCAGAAAAGTTAGCGAATTGTCAAAGGTCACACAGCTAGAAGGAGATAGAGCTAAGATCGCAACTCAGGCAGATGACCTGAGGAGACCAGTTTTTAGCCACTAAACTATACTGAGTGCAATTAAGTGACTCAAGGGAAATTAGGAAAGAATTTGCTAATTGAATTGCATGACAATGAAAAATTGTGAGGTTATCGCTAAGGCTGTGCTTAGTGGGAAATTGATAGCTAAGTGCTCATGTTAGATTTTAAAAAAGAAAGGTCTCAAACTGACATTCCCAGTTTCCATCTAGAAAAAAACCCAGAAATTTGGCCCTCCCTGGTGGCACAGTGGGCTGGACTGCTGCACTGTGAAGCTAAGCCAAGCCATGGCCGCTTCAGTGTGAGTTCAATCCCCGTCCCAGAGCTGACCCACATGGCACAGCAGAACTCTCCTGTCTCGCCCGCTGCTCCCCTCAGCAGTGTACTTTGTCGGTTTGCCTGTTCTGCTCCCCACTGTTTCTGGTGAATCCTCTCACTGCTCCTGCACCTCTGGTCTGTACCCCATTTTTGTACACACAAATAAATCTTTAAAAGAAAAAACAGAAAATCTAACCCAAAGTAAAGAGAAGGAATTAATAGAGATAAAAGTAGACATTGAAAAACAACAGAGAAAAAGCAATGAAACCAAGTTTCTTTTTAAAAAAGATCAATAAAATTTGTAAGCAACACAATAAAAGAAGATACAAATTCATTATCAGGGATGGAAAAGGGACATTACTACTAATCCAACAGATATTAAAGGGATAGTTGGGAAGTATTATGGAGGAAAAAAAACATTCCAATAAATTCAACAACTTTTTTTAAAAAAAGATTTATTTGTCAGAGGAGCAGGAGTGAGAGGATTCACCAGAGACAGAGTAGGGAGCAGAGCAGGCAGGCCCACTGAAATACACTGCTGAGGGGAGCAACAGGTGGAACAGGAGAGGTCTGCTGTGCCCTGTGGGTCAGCTCCCTGGCTGGGGATCGAACTCAGGCCCCAGTGGCTGCATAGAGCTTCCTAGTGCTACACTTTAACCTGTTGCACCACCAGGTAGGCCCTAAGTTCAGCGACTTTGATGAAACACAGAGTTCCTTGCACACGGCGATGTGTGGACTCTGGCAGGCGCTGCAGGATCACGCTCGCTTAGTCACACAGAATCTGGTTCTAACAAACCTGGGTTCAAATCCCAGCTTTTCCACTTTCTAGTTGTGAGAACTTAGCAAGTTATGTAGCATATTTGAATCCCAGTTTCTAAAATTAAGGCAGCTCTCAGGTCTCTTGTGCCTCAGTTTTGGAAAGTAAGGTCTGTTTAGATATTTGTGAGTTAACTGTATCTGAGTGCCTTGATCAGGGCCCTGTACAGAAAGAGCTAACTCCTTTTCTATCTCTCCCTTCCTACCAGAACAGCTTTTCCCACCCCTACAAACTTCTCTACTTTTTTTTTCTTATTCTCAGTCTTTTCTCAAAACACTAAAACGTAAGGTACTACATTCACCTCCAGTGCTCTACAGGCTAGACCTCTATTAAGGCATCCTGAGAGCTCAATATCAAATTGATGATTCTGAATAAAGAATCTTGCCCACCATAAAGCAATCATCAGTTATAGTAATTATTATTGGTCTTAGGATGGCTATTCATTGTATTATTCATCATATTATTACCAGTAATTTTTAGCTCTTTTTGGGATATCCTAAGTCATCAATCAATTCCCAGGAGTCTCAAAATAGGAGGCACAAATATTTAAGGTTTATCCCAGGTTCTTGATGTTAATTTTCCTCTTCATTGTCACCCTTCAGGTCTAGATCAACCTTCTGGAGAACCCGATGACCAGGCACCTACAGAGCAGCCAGCAGGTAGGTCCTGAATAGAACTTTCTGGTCTGTATCCCTGCTTCCTTGGCCAGTGGCTGCAGTTCTCTGAGACTAAGTTCTGTCCCTGTAACTCCCTTACCCACATCCTTGACCTTCTTTGTCCCACTTGGATGTGAAAGCAAAGACATCTCCCACCTCCAGCCTTCCTTAGCAGCTAGTGGAGGGCTGTCCTAATGTTCTGGCAAAATCCCGCTGGGTTCAAAAATCTGGTCTGTAATCACTGTAGAAAGAGGTATGGATGCTCTCACTGGCCAGTGGAGTCCTCCCGGAGCCCTCCACATTCAGCAGGGGAGTGACTGTTCATAGGACTGAGGGACGGATGCTGACCGAGCACACCTTAGCTGTGTTCTTGCAGGTATAGCAGAGGAGCCTGAAGTTTGTGCAAAGAGGAAGTCACTTGAGATGGAGTTTGAGGGCAAATAGAGAAATTGACTCTAGAAGAAAAGACATTTCAGGATAGACACTTGACTATTTCAAGGTCTAGAGGTGTGAAATTGCCTCCGTGAGTCTGGAAACAGCCAGTGGTTGGTTCGTGTGGATGGAGGGTCCAATACCAGAGCATATGGTTGTTGGGCAAGGCTAGACATGTGGGAAGAGGCCAGATCACCGAAGGTCTTCAACACCCAGCTAAGGAGCTGAAGTTTCAGGCTGAGCCCAGGCAAAGGCAGGACCTACTATAAATGGCATCACCTGCCCAAGAATGGCAGGTAGTGGGCAAGGAAACCCACGCCCATTTGCTTCCCAGACTCTGGAGGAGGGCTTGGCTTTGTCAGGGATGGGCTTTCCTTGAGAGCCTTGCTTGGGGCCCAGTGCCATTTGACTTGGGCTCACTGAGGTGCCTTCCACCCGCCAGGACCCTCAGAGCTGCCCCTGCTGCCTGTGTTGTTTGCTGTTGGGGGTCTTCTGCTGCTTTCTAATGCCTCCTGTGTCGGGGGCTACCTCTGGCAGCGCAGACTGAGGCATCTTGCTGAGGGTGAGGAGAGACCCTTTTCTCTCAGGAGGGAAGCCCAAGGGTGATGGGGAGTCCTGGGTGGGCGGCAGAATGAAAGTCTCCCTAGACCCTAGAGGTACCTCAAAGGGGCGCCTCTGATCCCTTTCTTCCTGTTTCCCTCAGGCATCTCAGAGAAGACAGAGGCAGGGTAAGTGGGATATTTTTCCACTGAGGAGTGCTCTGAGAGAGAAGGTTTGGGGGTAACAGATATCCGAGGGTCAACAACTTTGCTCAAAGGTCGGAGGAGGACCGAGTCAGGAATGAATATGAGGGGAGCCAGTGGACTGGGGACCGGGACACTCGAAGTTCCACGGTGAGTGCAGAAGGGGTTCTGGCAGGCTGCACACAGGAAGATCCTGCTGTTTACTTCAGGCTAGTCATTGCCTTTCCCAGGGAATATGGAGCCTGAGGACTTTATCTGTGTTGCTTTTCTTGGGGGTGGGGGAGTAGGTCAGCACAACAGATGTAGAGCCATATTACCACTCCATGAAGGATTTCAGTCGCCAGCTACCCCCGACACTGGAGGAGGAGTCTTACGCCCAAGGTGAGTCCTGCCCACATCAGAACCACCCTCAACCACGGGGCTCCTCCTGGCTGCACCACACACCCTGCTCACCTCTTGCATTCTCTCCAACTCTGGGTTTCACAGGTCTTGAAGCCTTTCCTGGGCACCTGTATGATGAGGTGGAAAGATTGTACCCCCCACCTGGGGCTTGGGGATCCCTCTACGATGAAGTTCAGATGGTGAGGAGCTATGTATCAGCAGAAATCTTTCCTGGCTAGTGCCAGAAATCCACCACCTGTTACTTGTATTAGTTAGGATAAGCTAGCCGCTGTAATGAAGAGGCCTGGCCAGCATCCCACGGTCTAAAGAAGGTAGTCTGTTTCTTTCTCAAATAGGTACCAGAGGCAAGTGGCTACTACGTGGCTATTCCAGAACCCAAGTTCTTTCCATTGTGTTCGTTGGCCCTCTGCTAGCATGCTGTTCAAGTTTGCATGGAAGGAACCATGGGTTCCTTCAGAACCCATCAATTCAGTGGTGGGGGTGGATTATTCAACTGATGGGAAAAGGAAAGAGAATGTGGTGAAGCACAACCTTGCCCAGAAATGGTACATTCTGCTCTCATTATCCTGCAAAGGAAGCTAAGAAATGTAGTCCAGCTTGGCAGCTACACGCCTCAGAACAATTCTGTTGCTATGGCATAAAGAAGGCATGCATTTCCCTGGGTGGCTAGCCATCTCCACTCCACTGGGCAAGCAGACTAATATAAAGAAAAAATTCATTGGCCCATTCAACTGCAGTCAAGGAACAGAATTAGTTTCAGGGCCACCCAGCTGGACCCAGAATTCTCCCTAAAGATATCCCAGCAAATCCAGGTTCGTATCCTATTAGATTAGGAATCTTCAAAGAAAGAGAAGGCTTCTTTTTCAAGAGCTGCAAAGTCTCCACTCTCACACGTGCTGGTTTATCTTGAGTCATGTACTCACTGCGGAGCCAATTGCTGAGGTAGGGGATGGCAGATGACTGTCTGTGTGACCTTGGCTAGTGCTCTGGCACCAATGGGCAGGATTTCCCTGTTATATTGTGCCAGATGGGGCACTATTCTCGGATGGTTTTCTAGCCAGAGCGGAAATTCAGTACGCACCTCCACTGCTGTCCATGGTGCTGAAACGCACGTGCATGCCAAAGTACAAAAAGAGCCTGGATTTGCTGGGATATCTTTAGTGAGAGTGCTGGCGCCAGCTGGGTGGCCCTGAAGCTAATTCTATTTCTTGACTTCAGCTGAATGGGCCAGGGAATTTTTTTATTTTTATACACCCCACCCCTCATAGAGAGCCAGGTAGCAAATGGGCTTTGCAGGACATAATTATCTTTCTAAAACCCACTCAATTCTGTTGTTGAATGTAAAGGTAGTCAAAGATAATACAGAAATGAAAGGGCATGACTAAGTTCCCATAAAAGTTTCGATGCTGAAATTTGAATTTCATGAAATATTATTTGTCACAAATGTTATTTTCCATTTGATTTTCCCCAACAATTACAACATTTAAAACCAAAAGATTTAAAAGGACACGCAAACACAAGATTCAGGCCTTATTTGGTCTACAGAAAAATCTGCTCTAAAAATGCACTGGGCCATAATAGTTTTCTCCCATTCCTAGGGCAAAAGGCATCCCTAGTAAGGATGTGAAATCACGAGCCACATTCCATAGTTTCCATAGCTGATATCGTGGACTCCAAAAATTTCACACTTCTGACATCTAAATAATTTTTTGACAGGAAATCAGGAGATAGCTTGAGCTTCAATAAAAAATAATCCAGTTAAAAAGATCATGCTTAGTGAAATAAGCCAGAAAGAAAAGGAAAAATATCAGATGGTTTCTCTCATAGCAGGAATATAAGGCAACAGGCGAGAAAATAATGATAACGATGAACAGCTATATACCGGAGACATTTGGTGGGGGTGGAGTGGGGAATGGGATCAAAAACAGCAGGGGGAGGGAAATGCACCAGACTATGGTGATGGCACATGGGTGATTTGGTGATGGGAAACCCACGGGGATTGCAACTAAGATGGAAAAATGCACAAAAATATGTAAAAATAAACTATTATAAATTTTTTTAAAAGCTTAAAAAATTTAATCCAGTTAGTGGGGACAGAGGATGAGAAGATGGAGGCATAGATAAATCACTATCGAAATTAGGTAGGTGGGCAGCTTGTGGGGATTCATGATGGGCATTCATTCTAATCACCCTCCTCTTTGTATATGTTGGGGTTTTTCTATCATTAGAAGATGAAGTATGGAGGGGAGAGTTGAACAAGAGCGTATATCCCTCTGAGCTACAAAGCTGACCCACAGGGCATCTCTCTATGGTTCTAACTCCTTCTTTGCTTGTCAGGGCCCCAGAGATGCTCACTGGTCTGAGGACAAGTATGAAGATCCAGGAAGAATCTATGATCAGGTGGCCAGTGACTTGGCCCCTATGGAACCTGATTCTCTACCCTTTGAGCTGAGAGGACATCTGGTGTGAGACGGCTCAGCACCCTTTGCTCTACCACCTATTATGTCCTGCAACATGACTTCGCAGTGGCCATCTTCATTCCAGACTGGGTTGAGCTTGCTAAGTGAACTTCATATGATACAAAGAGACTGGACATTTTTCTTTTGTAAAGATTTATTTTATTTATACATACAGAATTGGGCCATAGGCCAGAGGTGCAGAGGCAGTGAGAGGATTCACCAGAGACAGAGTGGGGAGCAGAACAGGCAGACTGACAAAGTACACTGCTGAGGGGAGCAGTGGGGGAGACAGGAGAAGTCTGCTGCACCATGTGGGTCACCTCTGGGGCTGGGGATCGAACTCCTGTTGAAGCAGGTGAAGCTAGCTTCACAGTGCTGTGCTATAACCCGTTGCACCACTAGGGAGGGCTGAGACTGGACTGTTTCAAGGGAGGAAGTGGCAGGGTGCATGTAATTGCAGAAACTGGTGGCAGCTGGCATGAAGGTAAACTCCTCCAAAGGAATATATGAGGTATAAAGGACATAGCCAAAATGATAAGGCAGTTCTGAGGTCTTTATGCTTCTGAAGTAAGATTTGCAGAAGTGTCAAAAGACCTTTTAAAAACTCAGTTCACTTTGAGTTCAACAGCAACTGAAGTAAGTGTTAATAAATGAAATTAAGAATTGTTGCTATATTCCACTCATTTTACTGTTTTCCACAGTTATTTAAAATATGATGTATAAACTGTGATACACATGGATACATAAACATTTATTTCTGTAGAAAATACAATAGAATAGACTGTCGAAACAAACTAGACAAAAGAACATGCATGTATGATTTCTTGTACAGAAATTCTCAAGCAGGAGCAGTAATCTGTGGTGACAGCGGATTAAGGGCTGGCTGGGACCATGAGAAAGGAGTTTGTCGCAAGAAGGTGTGAGGGAATTTGGGGCTGATGGAGACGTGCTATTTCGTGCCTGTGGTGATGGTTACATTGTTCTGTGGATTTGTCAAAAGTCATCAAAATGTGCATTTAACATAAGTGCATTTTACACACATAAATTATACCTCAACAAAGGTGATTTTACAAACAAATTACAAAGTAAAGCAGCCCAACAAGAGAATTCTTTTTTTTTTTTTAATTCCAACAAGAGTATTCTTATTCTTTATATTGAATAGCAGGAAAAGCAAACTGAGAAATCTGCCTATTTCCCTGATGAACAAATTGTAGTTAAGTATAATCTTTCTTTAGGCCTCTGCTTTTATTTGATTAACTTTATTATTAAAACTACTTGGCTCCAGTCCACTAGACTTATTATGGTGACTTTTTAATTTAATTTTATTTTATTATTTTGTGTGTGTACGTGATGGTGGTAGTGGTGGTATATGGGGTGGTAGTGGTGGGTATGTATTTTATTATTTTTAAAAGATTTATTTATGCATACAAGAACTAGGGTGTAGATCAGAGGTGGGGGGGCAGTGAGAGGATTCACCAGAGACAGAGTGGGGAGTAGAACTGATGGATCTACTGAAATACACTGCTGAGGGGAGCAGCGGGTGGGTCAGGAGAAGTCTGCTGCGCCATGTGGGTCACTCCCTGGCTGGTATTGAACTCATGCAGATAGCTTCATCGTGCTGACTGTGCCACCGGGGAGGCCCCTATGGTGATTGTTTTAAAGTATATACAGAGGCGTCCCTAGTGGCCCAGGGGTTCAGTCTCAGCACTATCACTGCTATGGCTTGAGTTTGACAGCAGACCTCTCCTGTCTCGCCTGCTGCTCCCCTCAGCAGTGTATTTCAGTAGATCTGTCTATTCTGCTCCCCTCTGTCTCTGGTAAATCCGTTCACCCTCCCCCGCACCTCTGACCTACACCCCTATTCTTCAATCAAAAAAAATTTATTTTTTTTGCCTAGAAAGGACAAGTAACTATGACAAGCAAAGATTTAAAATAAAGTAAGAAACTTCAGTCTTAAAAGTATTTTATGAGGTTAAAGATCAGAGATGTGTGTGTGACAGAGAGAGAGAGACGGTGGGGTACTCATGACAGCCTGGTGTGGAGGTGTCAGAACCCAAGCCGAGGGGAGGGCATACCAGGACGCCCCAAGGGCAGGCTGTTGCAGCCCCAGGATGTGAAAAGGACCAGCAGCTGGCAGTAATAGCAGCAAGGGGACACCAGCGACATACAGAGGACCTGATCCAAGGAACAACTCGATCAGCAACAGCCGGATTTCTCACCAAGGGAAGGAGTTCTGCATGGGTCAGAACTCACCAGAACCTGGGTGACAGTCAGTCCATTTAATGTCCTTGAGGCCCGAAGACAAAAGGGAAAACATAACAAAAATGCTTAAGCACAAGCAGGTGCTCATGGGAGTTTAAATGAATACAACCACTTTGCAAAACTGATTGCATCTACTAAATCTGAGCATATGTGTTACCCTTTGACCCTATAAGTCTACTCCTAGGTAGATAATCAATAGACAGGCTTCTATGTGTGAACTAGAAGACTTGAACTGAAAAGTTTATGGCTACCAGAAGCTGGGAATCGTCCAAATGTCCATCAAAGGAGAACAGACTGCTAATGGCTTATTAATCCGATGCATGTTGTGGCGATGGGACTGCTGAACGAGGCGTATAACAATAGGGGCTAATCTTGCGAACACATATTGACTCAAATAAATCAGACTCAGAAGAGAAGACACTGAAGGATTTCATCTGCTTGGAGTTACAAGGAGAACTTAGCTGTAGCATTAGAAGCCAAGAGCCACGGTCTCTGCAGGGGAGAGAGAGAGAGTGAGCAGGAAGTAGACTGATAATGCTGTAGAGGACTCACCAGAGACACAGTGGGGAGCAGAACAGGCAGACTGACAAAGTACACTGCTGAGGGGAGCAGTGGGGGAGACAGGAGAGGTCTGCTGCGCCATGTGGGTCAGCTCCCTGGCCAGGGGTTGAGCTTGCATTGAAGTCACATTCCATAGCATTGGAGCTGACAAAGCTGTGATCCCTCATATGATAAACAACCTTTGGTATTTTTCTGAACAACAGAAAACCACTATCTCCCTCTACCTAGTACATAGTTTAATTTCAGAAAAAGCTAATGACAGGGCCCTCCCTGGTGGTGCAGCAGGTTAAAGCACAGCACTCAGAAACTTAAGTCACTTCAGCATGAGTTTGATCCCCGCCCCGAAGGTGACCACATGGCGCGACAGACCTCTCCTGATCTGCCGGCTGCTCCCCTTAGCAGTGTACTTCGTGGATCTGCCTGTTCTTCTCCC